GTGAACATTTTGTTAAAATTTTGTACAAATGTGAATAATTATCTTTTTCTTTAATAGATATCGTAACAATTTTAAAGTTTTTTCATTTATTTTTAAACTACTATGACACTGTATTGAATTATGAACGCGCTTTGTTAACTATAGTATCGTATACTATCTTGATTACTATCGAGTTCACGATAGTACTATAACGTTGTTTCATGCTGCCACTTCATTATGGTGATCGTTATCGAATAGTAAGCAAATACCATTACTATACGATTACGGGAGTTGTTCGTGCTTGGGGTACTGTACCCTTAGCACGAACCAATATCGAATTCGTAACGTTTGCGAGTCCGAAATTTCATTGTCAAATGTGTACTGATTTTTAGTTCTCGTTACGTACTTTGTGCCGCTGCTGTTCAAGCTTGGTTCGTGCTAGGAGTACTGTACCCCTACCACGAGCCATTATCGAATTCGAATAATTTGCAAACCGAAATGTCAATGTCAAATTTTGTATGGAAACTTGAACAGCAGCGGCACAAAGTACGTAACAAGAACTAAAAATCAGTACGATACGAATACGACGTGACGTGACGTGATCTCAGTTGAAATCATGGCGTCAACGGCTATGTTTATTATATTTTTAACCTGGCCAGTTAATTTTTAACGATATTTCTGCCCAAGATTTGTCCATAACACCTTTCCTTCAATAACGACAACGGAAGTAAGAAAACGGGCCCTTGCGTGTGTTAGAAATCGCGGCGAACATTTTGAACACGAAAAATAAGTGATTTCAGTTGAAATTTTGTTTTAATTATTTCATCTTAAATTTAAAAAAATCTTCCTCAATTAGGATTTTTGATCTTAGTTTCAACAATTTTTGAACAATTTGCATAAACGATACCTCAAAAGAAAGTACAATAACTGAACATGTTTTTAAAAAGCTTTGAACAAACAAAACACCCTCCGTGTTTTTTTTTTTGTAAACATAAACAGCTTTATTCCATTTTAAAAATTTACGATAATTTTAAATATCTGTAAAAAAATTGTTTGCTCATACAGATGTTTTAAACATTTTTTCTTAGTTTGCTTTTACACTTGTTTTATCAAATAAAATCAAAAAGAATTCATTTATTATGTCCGTTAGCCAATATTTGGAACTAACTGTGTACTTTTAGGTTCTTTTCTTTAAAATCGTTAAAAATTATTAAAAATAAAATGTTCAGACTTCGTCTATGACAAGTATGGCTTATATGTTTCTAAATGGTCTCTGTTAGCTTTCCTTTAAAGCTTTGCACTCATCTTCCAAACACCCTGTATTTTTTCAGTCATAATAAATTTAAAGAAATAAGAAGTTAAAAGTCAAAATAAATTAAAATTTGGTTATTTAAATTCAGGTATTTTTCAAAGATATTGATTAAAACTATATTTTTTATGGGTGTGTTCTTAAGCCAGTACGCTACGACTATCATAATATCAATAAACATCCCTTACGATTCGCTGCAACACTGCTTCGTATGCAGACTTCGTATTCACGTATTACGATACGCTTACGCTACGATGTCTTGTGCAAAGGGGCTGAAACAGTGAGTTAAGGTACAGGTCCAAACTGAACCGCAAACCATAGGCCGCAGCTGCAAACTGCAGGTGACACTACTAGTAGACCAGGGTCGATAATTTTAAAAATGGTGAAAAGTGAAAAAAAAATATAGTAGGATGAAACCCATTAGAAAAGGTAGAGAATATAACAAAAATGAAAGGAAAAATAAATTACGGGCGATCTGAGGTCGGGAAGGGGGAGGGGGTGAGTTTTTAAGGGTAAAAAATGGTTAATCTCGATTTCCGGTAAAACTGCAAGTCCTATGAAAAAAAGTTAAATGGCAAAGTTGTAGGTAATAAAAAGATCTACAACTTTTGTATCGACACTTTTTTCACATAACCTCAAAATTTATGTGAAAAATGCTAATAACCGAGTTTTTGGTTTTTGATTTTTATTTTTTGCAAAAAAAATATTTTTTCACAAAATTTGGTGAAAACTTACCTTTGTATGTCCCAAACATACAGTAATTTTTTTGATTTAAAATATTCATTTTTTCACCTTATTTTGACTTAATATCCAAAAAGCACCCTAATTTTCAATCGAAAATTCTCACGTCAAAATATCTGCTTTTTTTAAAAAGTTGGGGTGTTTTTTGTTTCTTAAAATCTCTACTTTCTGATGGTATAAAAAAAAATATACACTACTATGATAAATGTTCTCAGAAAATGCAAATTAATAATGAAAAAAACTCGAATCCGAAAATCCTATTTTTAATACCTACTTACAACAGCTATTTTTGCATGTTTTATGGATTTGTAATTTTTCTGTTTATCAATATAACATGAAATTTACGTTTTTCGTGTAATTAAAGTGTAAATTTTAATAAATAGTTCAAAATTATACATAATGATTCAAATCAATTTTTCGGATTGGAGTTTTTTTCATTATTAATTTGCAGTTTCTGAGAACATTTACCATAGTAGTGTATATTTTTTTATACCATCAGAAAGTAGAGATTTCAACACACAAAAAACACCCCAACTTTTAAAAAAAAGCAGATATTTTGACGTGAGAATTTTCGATTGAAAATAAGGGTGCTTTTTCGACATTAAGTCAAAATAAGGTGAAAAAATGAATATTTTAAATCAAAAAAATTACTGTATGTTTGGGACATACAAAGGTAAATTTTCACCAAATTTCGTGAAAAAATATTTTTTTTTGCAAAAAATAAAAATCAAAAACCAAAAACTAGGTTATTCGCATTTTACACATAAATTTTGAGGTTATGTAAAAAAAGTGTCGATACAAAAGTTGTAGATCTTTTTATTACCTACAACTTTGCCATTTAACTTTTTTTCATAGGACTTGCAGTTTTACCGGAAATCGAGATTAACCATTTTTTACCCTAAAAAACTCACCCTCTCCCCCTTCCCGACCTCAGATCGCCCGTAATTTATTTTTCCTTTCATTTTTGTTATATTCTCTACCTTTTCTAATGGGTTTCATCCTACTATAATTTTTTTTGGTCTCAAAAATTATCGACCCTGGTCTATAGTGTCTATGAATCTCTATGAAATTGATTCCGAGGGCGGCGACATGCCGCGGCTGTTATGCATTGTGCAGCCGCGGCATGTCGCACGGTCAGCCTCAGTGTCGTCTGCGGTTGTAGCCTGCAGCCCATTGTGGAATTATACCTTTAACCTACCTACTTATTTGCGTTTCGTAGCAAAGCATTAGTGTACGAACATCACTGCGTGAGCCACTTTTATTCGATACTAGATGACCCGGCGACCTTTGTGTCGCCTAACAGTCGATGAATGTGGTTAATTTGAGGAAAGAGAATATAGTGAGTCAAACTTAAAAGATGGACGGACATATGCTGCCGCGAACTTTTTTTATATAACTTTAAAAGGAGAACAATTCCGTCATACATGATTTTTATGTAACTTTAACCACTTACGCAGCGTACGCAACGGAAGCGTTCAAAATAGACTTGCAACGAATATTCGGTTACTATTCGGTATTCGGCCTATTCGGCTGCTTTTATTATATTCGGCCGAATACCGTATACTTAAATAATATATTTTGTCATAGAGAAATAATTGGTAAAATGAAAAATGAAAAATTAAAATCGATTCATTACGTATATATTCATATTTTCATTTCTGTTACATATATATAATCATTTAAGTAGTCATTGGTACATAATACAGGTACATAATATCATCTTCTGAATTGGAAAAATGGAGGATTTTATGTATTTGAATTATAGTGGTAATCAAAATTTAGAAGGGTAAGGTTCTCATTTCTTTTATAATCATTTATTAAGTGGTCATTGGATGTACCAATGATAGATGTACAAAACAGGTACATAATTTAATCATTTTCTGTATTAAACAAGTTAAGAATTTATCTATGCATTTGAATTATTTTCATAATCAAAATTAAGAAGGGGAAGGTTATGGTGCAGAAAGACTAACTTTTTTGCATTTTTAGGAAGTAGTTTAAATACTTCTTTTTTTCTCGTAGACCATCTCAGCTTCAGAGAAATGGCGCTCTGAATAAACACTACTTCCTGGCGCCGACAAATATTTTGCTGCAATCTTAATCAAACACGGAAATTCAAATGTCCTGGCTTGCCACCATGTATACGGGTTGTCATGACGTGATATATTACTAATATATCAGAACAACAGCGGGCGCGCGGGCGATGAGTACATTACAACAAAACAAAGGAGCCACAGACTAATTAGATAGGAGCGCGAAACAATCAAGTCTGTACAAGTTTTTGGCGCTAAAATCCAGCCGAATACTTTTGCCTAATATTCGGCTATTCGGTCAGGGGTCTCGCCGAATATTCGGTATACTGCCGAATATACTATTCGTTGCAAGTCTAGATCAAACAGAATGTTTTTTCCCCGTCTTCGCAACATTTTTCACCGATGCTCCGCTCCAACTCGTTGTAGTTATATAGCTTATAGCTTTCCTCGAAAAATGCACTATCCTACAAAAAACCAAAAGATTTTTAAAATCGTACCAGTATACCTGACATTAGATAAACGCGTTCACCCAAACTATCAAATTCTTCAGCTTTATAATACATATAGATTCGCATAATAATAATGTCGGTGACGGTCAGAAAGTCGTGACTATACAAAAACAGTCTATATAAAAGTGATAGAACAACCATCTTCTAAAGCTTATAATGATGATAATATAATAAAATTATATGACCGTTTTTCCTTCTTTATATGTCTCCCCTGCTGTGGCACGGGACTGCCTGATAGACGGAATAGGGACAATGGGTCATGACAAACTACAGATGACGACAGGACCAACGTCTGAAAGTTCTTTAAAATTAACTTACAGAAAACACAAACCTACAAACCTCACAGGCAGTCCCGGCAGGTGATTGTTGTCTCCGTATTATTTTTGTTAGGTATATTATTTGAACCTGTTTATACAATACCGTTTGCAGAGTCTAACATTAGGATGGTTGAACCAGTACTCGCTTGTTTGCCAGCCTGTCAACGACGGTCCTCACAGCTTCCTGTACGCCTGGAGAGTCTGCTACATTTACTTTGTGATCAAGATAATGGATCTCTTAGATACGGTAAATTTCATTTCAATGATTTGGATTGCAACACAACAGAATTATTGAAGGAGACTTACACCAAACAAGTTTCAAAAATGCCGAAATATAATAAGAATTGATAACATAACCCGCACTGCTTTATGGACTGAATAAAGTGTAATGAGTCTCACACACAGCTTTTTATGGTTTCGGCATTTATAGAATATACTGTTTTTTTTATCTTTCATTAAACAATCAACTTACTTAATGACTGATTTCAGATATTTTTTGTTCTGCGAAAAAAACAAAACCAAGTAACATTTCTTCATGTTTACCATCATTGTGGAATGGTGGCTGTGGCATGGGGCATCGTGAAGTGGGTGCCAGGTGCGTGATGAATGAATTAAATCAAGTTTTCACTTTAAAAGCATTTTCTCAAAATGATGTCGGAGCTCTTACTGCATTCTTCACTAGGACGGCAGTATTCTTATCCGGCTCGAAGGACCATTATATAAGGTCTCCCTAAATAATCATGTAAAGATAAAGAAATGAAGATAACTGATGCTGTTGAATACATTGCGAGCATTGATTTTTTGTGAAAACATGCCTTTCTTAGGTACAAATTAATCAAAATTTTGTCTTTCTCAAAGGCGGCCACGTCACTCTGATGGTCACTATCAACTCCTTTGTGCACATCGTCATGTACGTATACTACTTATTGACGACATGGGACGAGTCCTATAAGAGATCGCTGTGGTGGAAAAAACACGTCACTCAAGTCCAGATTGTAAGTAACCTCCGCATTTCATAGTTAATATTAAAAGAAAATGGTAATCCGTATCTAGTTAGCACCTAATTGTTAATACAATCAGGATTACCTATAGTACACTGGCCAAAAAACTATAACAATATCTATAGGTATTACGTAGGTATAATATAAAATAAGATTTTACCCATTTTGGGGTTCCATCATTTATCACAAACTGTGTAATTCTGTTCGCAGCGAAGCTGTATGACCTAGCAGTGGAGCCATTAATAAAAATATCGTTGTCCATGTTTCAAACGGGATTCGAACCCGCATCACCGCCCGGTAGTGGAAGATGGGGTTCGAATCCTGTCTAAAACCTGGACTAAGTGGATCTTTTTCTATTACAATTTTCTTTAGATTTAAATCATAACTTTATTTATCTCCACTACATTCTTCATAATCATAGGTAACAGTATGAAAATAAGACTAAGATTGTGAGAGACTGGTGACCAAACTAAGCTGACACCTGTATTCCAATACACCAGCGAAGATCATCGATCCATCCACCTAGTGGGGAGCCTACCCACAGAGCGTTCCCCCGGATAATATGAAATGCATTATTGCATAATAACTCTACCCACTAAATCTATACATTTTAATTAGGAAGACGGTTTATGAATTTTGTATGTTTATGACCGTTCTCTCCATGAGTTTCTGTGCCTTATGGAAGAAGCTTATGGAATAAACTAATTTAATCACCTTCCGCCATTTAATCAATTCTATTTAACTTTACTTGAAAAATAGGTACTTATTGCATGTATTTATTTTTCATGTTTTCACGTAAGCCTATCATTTCATAAAACGGGTATTTTAAGTGCGTTTTTGTTACATTTATTTAATTCTACCTGGCGTTTAAAGGGCCCAACCCTTTACAGGTTCCGTGGTTGCAAGTTCAATTCCTTGAGTACTTCGTAATTTAATTTCAGATCCAGTTCAGTATAATACTTATACACTTTCTGGCGCTGTTGGCAACTCAGGATTGCGCATTTCCACGCCAACCGATCTACATTCTTCTCCCACAAAATCTGTTTATCTTCATCCTGTTCTGCGACTTTTATTATAAGGCCTACATAAGCAAACCAAAAGTAAATTGATTTAAAATGTTTACGTAATGCTGTAACCGAAAATAAATATATTTTTTCTTTTTTGATAAACTGACTTTCATTCCCATTGTCACAAGCAACACTTGTTCGGATTCACAGGTAAGAAACTAAAGATATCGTTTTAGGATATATAGATCTAAATGGAATGTATGAGATGGATATACTAGTTTCAAATAGTTACATGCATTATGACTCCTATATTGTTTAGCCCAATTCGAAGCAAGTTTCTGTATTTATACACCGTGAATTTTTTGTTACGTACCAGAGAAATTTAAATATCGTTAAATTAAAAATAGTCAGAATATTTATAAACAGTAAACGTACAATAACTATAACCCCATACAAAAAATATTTATACTTAGGTACTTAACGTTTGCATCGTTTAAGAGCCCCCGCAGACTTGTACTATTGTACAACTAAATTGGTTACTTTCACAATTTAATTGGGCGACTTTATTATATTGGACCCCAGCCGCAGACCTAACTGATTTAGTCGGTGACTGTGTTGCTAGCGCTCTGACGTGTGCGAGAAAATGAGGAAAAGAACTGATCTACTTGCAATATATTAATATCGCATCTTGCCTTGCGACTGACCAACTATTGTTGATGGGTAATCTGCGAGGTTACATATAGTATCAGTACTAATAAACAGTTGGCCGATAGTTTGCCAACTTTTTAATTGTGAGTAATCGGAAGGGAATCTCAACTCTGATACAATCGGTATCCAACCATTTAGTTGTACGATTTGGTTGGGTAAGATGTGCGGACTATCATATGTCACAATGCCTATTGTACTACTATGCGATTCAGTTGTTCAATTGGAAATTGCAAGTCTGCGGGTGCTCTTAGTCTATGATGTTTTGAAGTTATAGATCCAACGTCGTACACGCTTCCAATTTAGCAATACGAAAGTCAGGTAATTGCCCGACTTGCATTCAGTCGGTCAAACTCTCTCGCCGCGGCTACAATTCTCATCAACGTGTAAATATTTTACGTTTTTCCAGACAAAAAGCCCTCTGTACTTTTTAAATATTATACAATTTACACGGAAACAATGATAGACAAGAAAAACGTGTCATTTCATTCGTAATTACGGTTTTATAGAAATTAATATAAAAATTTTAAGTGATAACTTATTTTGACAGTTGCTCACACCGTCGACACGTTGAGGCGACATAGCATCAAATTTACTTAATCAACAACAAAGCCACATATGCCTTCGATTAATAATTGGTAGGTCTTCTATTACTCTACGAAATTGGTTCTCAAGAAATTCTAAAAATCTTATTGTTTGGTAGTTCGATCGGCCCAATCAATATGTCATCGATCATGGCTGCCCACACATTCACGGAAAATTCATGTTGAAATTTGCTGGGTCTTACTGCATCCCCGGACTTAACACCGCTAGACTATTTTTATGGGGATGGATGAAGCAAAGAGTATATGCCACAGTCCCAAACAGCAGAGAAGAACTGGTGCAAAAAAATATGACAGTTGAAAATGAAATAAGAGCAGACACTGCAATGATCTCCAGGGCCACAAGACAAGTCGCCATAAGGGCCACTGCCTCTCTACAAAGCAGAACATTTTGAATAATTTCTGTGATTATTTTTGTTGATTTTATCATAAAAAGTTATCAGTAGTACAGTACAGAGTTTTAATTTAATTTTATTCATTTTCATAAGGGCAATAACTCTCAAATTATGTAACTTAGAGAAACGATGTTTTTGATATCCTTGTGTATGAGTGTATTGAAAAAAAATTATACTGAAATGTGCTAGATTTTGTAGTATGTATTGTGGATTAACTAAAAATGTTCAAACAGCAATTACTCTCAAATTATGTAACTTAGAGAAACGATGTTTTTGATATCCTTGTGTATGAGTGTATTGAAAAAAAATTATACTGAAATGTGCTAGATTTTGTAGTATGTATTGTGGATTAACTAAAAATAACAGTAAATTTTTTGACTTAAATTTGCATAAAAAAGAAAAATATGACAATGGTGTCGATTCTAGCATGATTCTCTAAACCTAAACTTAAATTTGACAGCAGTATATCTTTGTCATTCTCTATACAGAATGAAAAGGAGACACTGATGTTAAATTTAGTTTTAAGTTTAGAGAATCACGCTAGAATTGGCACCATTTTATACTTAAATGTATAAAATGTCTATAATTGTTCTATTTCAATTAAAAAATATTATTCTATTTCAATTAAAAGGTGATAGTATTATCTTTCAAACAACATTTATTTCATATCTGTAGGACCTTTATGTCCAGAGAAATCAATATTTTTTTGGGGGTTATCTAAAATAAAAAAATAAATTTCAAATGGCGGCCATTCCAAAAAGAGGGGGAGTAGACCCCCAATATGGGTATTTTTGTCGATAAAATTAAGTATATTTGATGCTCTTAAATTATCGCTAAGTCATTCCCAAACACACTGTATAGTATAGTTACGTCATTGGGTTAAGCGGTGTGTAAATAACATATCTGTATGGATTTTTAATCCGTTTCAATTGCTAGTAGATCCTAAAAGTAGTTTAATCTTAATGAATTTATGACAAATAAAATTGTTATTATTAAGTTAACGTGGAGATAATTTTCGAAAAACTCAATTTAATTATTTTTTGCGGAATCCGTGTTCTGAATACGCTAGTAAATTTTCTCAGGCTACTCAAAATTCACGGTGTATGGTAATGCCGTTTCAGACTTTAAAATTCCTTCTTTTTTTGCGTCGTTATAATCACAGCAGTGTATTACTTCGTAGCCGGTCCAATACATAACGTATTAAGAAAAGGTAAATTTAAAAAATCTAAAAACCCTACTGCTTAATTAAACTTCAAATAAAACAACAAGTCCCATAGTTTATAATTTTGTTAAGTAGGGATACTATTTTAACAGTTAGATTTACACCGTTAGATATTCAAAAATAGATATTTTTTTTAATAATGGGTCTCGACTGTTAAAGTACAAACTTACTAGATAGGTACTTTAAAAACACCATGCAACCGGTATGCAAACACCTATTTGACAGACAAATTACAGAACGCCATTCAACTTGGGATCCGGCTGCAGGAGCTGGGTATAGAAGGGGGACTTACGATCCGGGATAGCCAGACGGGAGCCGAGCTCTTGGTTGTCCCGTGCCGGACAGTCCCGCAAAGGCGGATGCTCTGGCGAGGCGACTGGAGGAGACGATATCAGACCTGGTCGATGTCAGCAGGCCTGATAAGGTTGCCGACCTGCGCATTGTGGGGCTGGACGACTCAGTCACGGTGGACGAGTTGGTGCAGGTGGTGGCAGCTAAAGGGGGCTGCCAGGCCGACAGAGTGGTGGGGGAATACTCCCTGGACCGGGAGGCAGGAGGGTCGCCACAGTGAGGTGCCCCGTGGGTGCGGCCAAAAAGGTGGCAGAGGGAGGCATGCTGAAGGTGGGATGAAGCCTCGCTCGAGTGAGAGTGTTGGGCCCCCAGGCTTCACACTGTTACAGATGCATGGGCAGGGGTCATGCGGCCACTAACTGCCCAGCTAAGATTGACCGCAGCAATCTATGCTTCAGGTGCAGGAAGGCGGGCCACAAGGCGGCGACATGCGCCGCCCCAGCCCTGTGCGCGGTATGCACGGATAGTGGTCGGCCGGCTGACCATATTATGGAAGGCAAGAGGTGCGACCCTCCGGTGACCCGGGGCACTTGCACCTTACAATTTTTAACAGAGCAGTAGTCGAGTCAGTAAGGGTAATGCGTGTTTGTTAATGGACCTATGTATTTATCAAATAGACAATTTTAAAAGCTCACTACACACAGTAAGATAGTATAGTTCAATAAAATCAGAATAATAGTAATTGTAATAATAGGGTAATGGATATTAGGGTAACAAAACATGTATTCTTAAATTACAATATACAAATATCCAATCCAGTATTACGAATATTATAAAGACTTATTTACACGATGAAGTTTTCTTGCATATTCAAGAGCAATAATTGAATGCAATAAATGTGGCGTAATAATTGAACTTCAAGAATTGTAAGCAAATTCTTACATGCGGACATAGTTAAATGGTTGCATACAATTATTGAATGCCAGTTTTGCCAAAAAAGAATTGCAAATGTCTTTTGTTTGCACCAATAAAATGTTAAGGAGATTATTGCTTTCAAGAATTGCACGTATTGGCGTTGGCGAATTTTCATTAAAGTGTTGAACGTTTTAGATCAGGGTTTGTTTATAAACAGTACATTAGTACATTGAGATTTATTGCAATCATGAGTGTTTATTGGCCACTAATAGTGTTAATTACAAAAATCGTGGCGCACGTAATGCTGCTCTGCATCATTTTGTTCGCGAATTTAGAGTTGATGGATTTGGAACTAAAGAAATAACAAACAAAAAAAATGTGTGAGTGTCGTGTAAAACTCGGTTGGAACGAAGTTAACAGTAGATAGTTCACTAAGATTCTAGAGTAGGAATTTTATTTTACTCGTACAATACTTTCATTCTCACTACACGAAGAAGACACTTATTTTCTATAAATCCGAATTTAAGTATCTAATAAGCATATGAACAACGGGTGAATGGAGGCGAAACGTATTTCACGCGTTTGTATTTTTTCTTACTTTTTTATTATTTTGGGATTAAAACGCTATTTTGGTCCCTAGGGATGAAAACGCTATGTTGGTCCGTGTAAATAGAGAACAAACTAGCTGTTCGAATAGATGTGATAAAAAATATTTATATACCATCTACCAATCCGTACTGGGCCCTTGTGGCGAGTCATGGCTCAATCTCCCTATTCCATATCAAAAGGTATCCTACTCTCGAATCCGCACTGGGCGCAGTGCGGAATGAGCTCAGTGCGGACCGAAAAGGAACTTCGTTCCAATAAAAAATTAAGGAGGCAGATAATGGGGATAGGAAAAAGATAAAAGATACCATGGCCACTGATAATGTTTACAAATTTGCTTTGTATAATTGATTTTTTTTACATTTCCTCACTATTTTTTGGCTCCTAAAAGCAGCAACGATTAACACACCCTCACTTACTGCA